AACTGGCCCTACTTGTTGTGTGTGTGTGTGTGTGTGTATATGTGTGCAAAGAGTAAAATAATTAGTAACAAGAGTCAATTAGAGTATGACTAAAAAAAATGCAATAATATTTTTGCAGAACATACTGGTACATCTAGACAATCTGCTGATTCAAATCTAAATTTGTACAAAGGTGAAGTGAAAATGTTTTCCGAAGACCTTTTTATTTAGCAGTAGTCGCATGGCTTAACTTCCTCCTTGGATAAAAAAAAAAACAACAACTGCCACCGAATATCTTCAGTAAACCAAAAGATGCGATATATATTTATGCCCATCCGACTGGAATACATGTTGATTCTATATTTAAAGGTGTGTAATGAATCCCACGAAATTCCTAGCATCAATGCCTTATTTTTTTTTTCCTTCTCAAACTCGTTGAATTCTTGGATTTCCCCCCTTGGCTTTACTCACTGGAGGTGTAAACAGCATTAGAGCAGCCATGCATGGTATGATAAAGTAGTATTACACAAGGCCGCCTCATATGCCGCTACCTTTATGAGAGCTGTTCTTCTTTTTATTAACAAGTTACACAAGAAAAGGAGGGCAGCCCGACAACACAAACGAAGAAACTGTTAAGCACTGTGACCAAAATACTCCAGTCATGCGGGCGCTCGGTTCAAAAACAGATGACACAGACACATACAAAGCTGATTGTTGCAACCTTAGAATGTTGGAAAACGATCTGTGTGTTTGTGTTTTATTGGGCTTGGCCGGTATAGTGTTTGTGTGATATGTGTGCTCGTCTAAAAAGGAAGTGCGGTTATGAAGTGTGTCAATAGAATGCCTTCTTTTTGCTTTTGGGCTTTAATAATAATTTGTCGTTTTAATGCATAATCAACCTCAATGAATTTTTTTGTGGCTTAACTCTTTTGATGTGGTTGCTTTTGACTGCTGCCTCTTGTTGAAGCTGGAACTCAAGCCCACAAGAGTAATATCTTAATTTTGCATGGTGCTATTTCTCACTTAAACAGAATGGCATCCTATCATGAAGGATGAATTAGAAAAAAACATTCAACACATACTGCATTTAATTTTTAATAGAGTCTGTGGCTATTAACCTCTGGCTACAAACAACTAAATTAAGCCAAATCGTCCGTAATGCATGCCGAAACTTTATCACCGCTAGTTTTTGCTTCAGTCCAGTGGATCTTAAAATCTTGAGGAGGGCATGCTGTTCTTAATATAGACAAGGAGAAGGCGAATAATTCCAAGAATTACTTCTTTCTTTGAAAGAGCTCTGTCTTATGTAATGTGACATAACACTGAGTTAAAGGCTTGACTGTATTAAACCTCATTGTGTAACAGTGCTATACCGCTTACTGTCCAATGACAAAACGGGCTAAAAAATGCATAGAATATTAAAGGAGGGACAAGAACATCACAAATACTTCTGGGAGACCCAGAATGCACTGCAATGCACTTTTTTTCTTTAAAAAGAGTAAGAATCTTTAAACATATTGAGTATGCAAAACATTTTTCATTCTACTTTTTTAGTGAGCTACAAAACTCATGTCTTACACATCTCAAGCATAAGTTCTGTTCATTTCATTTTGTGATCAAACACAATATATACCAAAAAAGGCAGAATAATGCATAATACAATTAATTTTGGCAAATAAAACAAGAATAATAAATAATACAATTAATTAATAATAAAAAAGTCATTTTGAGACAAATGAGATGAAGAAAAACATTTATTTTACACAATAAAATTCTCTGAAATGACCAATGGCCACCATATCGATATCGGCCAATATGTTCATTTTTAATGTCATCGTTAAATTTGGCCATAATATTAAAGCCGACACAAATAATGGATTATTATCTTCAGCTGAGACGCTTCAGATGTGCACTGTTCACCACACTGTAAAACAAATATGTTCATGATTTGTAATCACAACATTTTTTCTTTTGTTAAATCAACTTAAATAATGAATGTGGTTCAGATAACTTAATATTTTGAGTTTCTGGTGATTAAATCAATCTCCTTCATTGTATTAACTCGGTTTTTCCATTTCAATGAACTTAAAATTTTAAGTTAAACCAACAATATTTTTTTAGCTTTGAATTGTTTGAAATATGATTGAAATCACTTCAAAAAGGAAAATACAGTTCAGCACAAGTCTGTAATATCGGCTACATTAAATGATCATGAGATGAGAACATTATAATTGTGTTTGGGACATGGTTTTTAATGGTGAGACTTTTGTATTTGTAATCAAAATTATATAAAACTTAGTGGATTTAGATGTATCCGCCAATTTAACAGTTATCAGCTTAAAGCTAATATTAACAGTTATCAGCTAATATTAAAGCTAATTCTTTAATATTCTTCTTGATGAATATGGTCATCGGTATAGGCCAAAATTTTCATATCGGTTAAAATAGTCGTTGTTGCACCACAGCTCAGTCTTTCTTTCTTTCTTTCTTTCTTTCTTTCTTTCTTTCTTTCTTTCTTTCTTTCTTTCTTTCTTTCTTTCTTTCTTTCTTTCTTTCTTTTTCTTGTATAGCACAGTTCAATACAACACTGGTTGCTTAAAAGGCTTTACAATCACAAACGACATCAATACATAAAGAAGAGAAAAACAGAAAGAAAAAAATATATAAACAAGACATAAAACAGACACAGTTGCATTCGAACCCCCTTCGAGGAAGATGACCCACACCGTTTAACGGATGTGATTTAAAGTAGATAGTTTAAAGTATGTCAGAGCAAATGTGGCCACAGATATATTGTCTGATACAGATTGGTGCTGGTATGATGTCACTTGGACTTTCAAATCTAAATTGAAGCGTATTTTACTGTAAAATTACATCAAATGTATTATATTTTTTCACTGTATATAGTAAGGAAACTTACAGTTAACCTATTAACAGATTTTTACAGTCTTTTACCATTAAAATTACGATAATTTTTTACAGTTCCACAAGAAAACAAGTCTGCTGGAGATCGAATATTAGAGAAATGCTGCCACCTTCTGGAGATAGATCACCCAAGCCCAAGAGTGATACTCAGTTTATCATGTATCCTTATTTAAAGGTGATAACTTTGGTTTATAGTCTCAGAATCGAGTTTAATTGGATGTCCACTGAAGAACTTAAACTGAATATGGCTTGTGAAGATGATTTTTAACTTTTAATACAACCTCACTGTAAAACCAGACTTTGTTTCCAAATGAGTCTGTTTAGTCTCCGCTCTTGAACACCACAAGATTAAGGGATCAAAAATAGACCACAGTGTGTCGAAAAATAGCTCAATGAAACGTCATTTTCCAATTCGGTCACTGCTAAAAAGTAGTGTATCATGTGTTGACATTACATTGATTCTTTGGTTTACTCTCTGGTTAGCTTGTCACTATTTAAAGCCTTTGTTTTGAGCAATATAAATATATTTGAAAAATCTATGACTTAAGTTGGCACATCACAGCACCAGATACATGTTTGGCTTTAGACTGTTACTATAGCTTGAATGAAATGTCAGTGCCTTGTCTTTTCTTTTATTAGCTGAAGGCAAATAAAAAAAAACAGCTCTGTATCTCTAGTCTAGACTATAAATCACACCTAATGCAAGGGTGTACACAAAAGAATTTATAAAGTATAAATACGGTTTATTGTCAGATATATGCAAGTGTATATTTTCTTTCTAGAATGTCTGATGAATGTAATGTGTAATATTTACAATTTAAAAAAGTAAAATGGCTTAGACTATTTTTTATTAATTATTTTAATTTTTATTTACTGTTTAGTCTAATGAACGTTGTCATTAATTGTCAGAATAGAAGATATGCTGGTGTCATAGATTGTTTTATAGTATTTCTGATTTATTTTGGTTTGTTGATTCTGAATTTCATATAGTGCACAAGCAAATCTTCACAAAGGGCATTTAACGTTTTCAGTTGGAAATGGAAAATCTAAATACTGATGTATGAAGCTTTTAATTATAATACAAGCACTTTAATCTATGTAAATGAACAGGAGTTTGGACACCTTTGGTTGTCACATGGCTTTGCAACATGCAAATTTTACTTCTGTTGCATATTGTTGCAATCATGCTTAAATCAGTGGCTGTAAAATACACCTTTAGATTGTTTGCACAGTATTAAGAAAATTTGCCTAACTAAAAGTATTCTCTATTTTTTACTCCTATGAGCAATTACATTACTTTGCACTGACTGCAGTGATTAATAATTAAGTGCCTTCTCACACAAATGCATCAGTTAATAGGAAGTCCTCCGTATTATGTATGGACAAATTTTAACAAACGACGAACACTTCAATTCAAACATTATTTTTGTCATTTCTAAATGCTGAAATATTAGTCATTTTTTACGTTAAAAGAAGACCTTGTATTGCGTAGCAGTGCCCCCCCTCCCAAAATTTGAAAATTGTATTTATTTATAAAATGCCTCTGATTACAACAAACATATTGTGTTTACGTTTTTGTACACGTTCAGTAAGTGCTGCGTGCGATTTTATAAATGTTTGATTCACTAAAATGAACCGAGTCATTCGTTTGTGAATCATAACGCACTAGTCGCGCTGTATGTTAGGGATTCAATACAAAGAACCGACTCTTAAGAGCAATCCTTTCGGGAATCGAACATACACTGGTCAGAGTATTTAAAAACGGTTTCATCCGCCTCAGATGCACAATGAACGCTCAAAAACCATTGTTTATTAACAATTATTAATCGCCTCCGGCATTTTTTTTAACGTAAACAGTTTTCGTTTCCCAATCCCTATGCGAAATGTGTACATTTACATAATTTAAAGTTGAAGCTGTGAGTCAGAAACCTATCCATTAAACATAAGAGTATATCGCACTGCCTACATATAACCAGCGATAACTGTAAAAATAACAGTCAAAGATGGATCGTGTGAATCGCGAACTTTATCACGTATGATTCATGTCTTCAAAGAGGGCGCCTTTTCTCCGCAGAATCGCCGCTTGCTGACGTTTTCTGGCTGTCATGTGATTAGCCCGTACTCAGGGTTCAATGAGAGCTGTTTGCCCCACCCATCTCTTCAACGCTCTCTCTATCTCAATGTACAATTCACTGAGAAAAGGAAATAATCGCTAAAAATACACCCTCGAAAAGGATTCATTCGCCACAATTGGGGATTCAACACGCTCCGTCCGTAGGGGATCCACCGTTGTCGTTGTGGTATCGGATTTATCTTCACGTATCCAAATGCACATGATCTACCACCCGAATTCAAGAGGGATACAAAGCGTAACGTTAGCCTGACAGCGGACTCTGACTGCGATAACCGGTGAAAAATCGACGGAATCGGTCACATTTGCATCTGCGGTTGTAAGAACCGTTAAGGATCGCCGCTCGCGTAAAAGCAAAGCCTACGGATGTGAGCAGAAATTCAAATTACAGTAACGGAGAAGACGGCGAAGGGCCTCGTTTGATTTGGACAAGCCGAAAAAAAAGCGATCGGTCACCATAAGCAGAACAGGAGGGAAAATAGCGTCAATCTGAGGGGAATTTTTCAGCAGCACCACCGTATTTTTCCTCGCAGACAAACGTCGTTTCGTAACGGAGTTAAAAGGTTCATGTCGGCCACGGCGCTGGGCGGAATGATCCACATGCCGTCATTTTGGTGGAAATATTTATTTTTTTAATTTGTAGCCACCCTTTCTATCTCGTTCTGCCCGTGTCGTTGCATCGGCGAACGGATTCGACAGCAAGAGACCGAAAAGAATCGCGTTTTGTGGAGCTATTCATGATTTTAATAGGAGTCGGTCGTTACATCGGGACGCCGACCATGGATTCGCCACGGGAAATGTGCTAAATCGCCGTCGTGGGAAAGCCGAAATCCTTCATGTAACGTCGAAGGCTTCGCTGGATGCACATCCATACACAGAAATCTCATATTTTATAGCAGCAAGCGCTCGACAGGACTCGGCCGTCTGTAGGCTGGCCTAGTGTGTGTGTGTTTTCACCAGCACCTATTCTCGCCAATACTAGTCACCCATAGCTTTCATATTTCCCCGTGCTCCCCTGCCCGTATCAACTAAATCCAGGGGAGTCATGTGCATACACGTATAAATGTCCCGGTTTTCCATCAAAGTGTTCTGATCGGAGGCCAATCAAGGAATTTGGATCATTTATTCATACGGTAGATTCACCTCCCCCCCACCACCCCACCCCAAAACTTTTCTTGGGTTTTCGGGAAAATGGGTTGTTTGGGCAACAGTAAAACTGAGGACCAGAGAAATGAGGAGAAGGCCCAGCGAGAAGCTAACAAAAAGATAGAGAAACAGCTCCAGAAAGACAAACAGATCTACAGGGCAACTCATCGACTACTACTGTTAGGTAGGTTGGTCTGAAAGCCGCCGAGGTTCTTCTGTCAGTGCTGGACTGAGGCGCGTGACGTCACCGGGGTCTGTCGCACGTAGCGTTTTGCGAGAATTTGATTCATTTGGTCGAGAAAGTGATGTAGGTAACTTACACGCGCTTCGATTGGGATTCCTGTGCCGTAGTAGTGGACGACACCTCAGGGCTAGGGCTGGAGGCCTGTGGTGCTTCATCTAACACCACTCAATCTCTTCATTCATTCCCATCTGATTTGTGTTCAATACGGTTTGCATTATGGAAATGTTTGGGCTCGCACGATTTTATAATTCACTTACAACTATCTCATGGAGATGTATATGCAAACACATTACGTGTTTCTCTAGGCTTGTGTTCACGAGTTTAGGATTGTTTCTACTAAAGTAGCAAAGTGAAATAAAATAACTTTATATAAACATTTCTGAATTAAGTTGTTTGGGAGATTAGTGCATCACTTTTTGACATGTATCCCAAGACATTTGGAATCATTATGGTATTTTATATGGAGGGTTGTTTGCATAGTTCTATTGATAATGTTATTTCCCCCTTATACTTTCAAACTTTTAATTTGAAACAAATTGATTAGATCTTTTTTTTCATATGCTTTGAACATTAATATTTTAGATTTGACCGTTGTATTAACCAGGTGATTAATTGAAATGGTAGTTTCGCTTATATTGTCATTTCCTAAACCTACTGATATTGATTTTATTTTTTACTTTTTTTGTGTGAATTGAGTAAATACTGAAAAAAAATATGGAAATTTAGTCTTATTTCCTTTCATTAATCTGTAGTATGTTTACATCAGCATTATTTCAACCACTCTGTTCCTCTAGATATTGGGCCATTAAAAAAAAAAACCATATGGGTCTAACAGTACTTGCCTTGCTATTTCAATTTCATAGACTTTTCGTAGCCAGGCGTGAAAATGTTTTAACATTGGTTTGATTTGAATTTGGTCTCTGTTAAAGAGACGGGTCTGGTCTTACTTTGATAAAACTCAGTTCTCCAACAATCATGCTTGAGGTATACACACATGGCCTAAAAAGTACAAAATCCCATCTATTCAACATAGTGAAGCTCTCTAAATCATAATCTCTGGTATTTAAGTGAGGAAACGGGTATATATATATATATATATATATATATATATATATATATATATATATAGATACCCATGATTGAAGTGTGTCGTAATGATGTATGATTTAGGGATGTGTACCATTGGTGCAATTCCTGTATGCAAACAGACACAATTATTTGACACAATTGGAGCCTGGTAACAGAATATGTGTTGTGATAAAGGTTCTCGTCATGCATCTGAACTGAAAGCCTAAACCTGAGGTGTTTTGGTGCTTCTGTAGCTTCACATCCACAGGGGAGAAGTTAACTCTCTTCTCCACTGTGCGCTATTGACAATAAATTGTAGAATCATTCGGCTTTGTCAGTGTTTGACAACTATAGCTCTAAGAGAAAATAGGTGGTGTTTCTAGATGGTTCTTTAACATTATTTGATTTGATGGATAGCTACCAGTTACTATTTAGTTTAGGTTAACTTGCATTGATTTATGAATATGATTGTTATGATGGCATTATTAATGCTAATAATAATAATATAATTCATAAACAGTTTGTGCTTTGTATTTTAGTTGGAATTTTCTGTTTAGTTTGTGTTTTAAAAGAAATGCAACTGTGAAATGTAATGAATTATTCCTGTTAAATCAGGTGATATCCCCCTTCTCACATCCCTTGTGATTTATATCTTTCTATCTCTCAGGAGCTGGAGAATCGGGGAAAAGCACCATAGTCAAACAGATGCGCATTTTACATGTCAATGGCTTCAATGCTGAGTAAGTATGGCTTTCACATCTATGTACTTTTTTGATTCTGCTTAAGTTAAACTCAAGACTAGTTTTGAAACAAACCCTGTTTCATTAATTTCATTTGTTAGCAAGTGCAACATCATCTTGGTGTAATGTTTTTCGGTGATGGTGAAGGATGTTGAATTCAAATCTTATGTTAGTGTTGTCCTCTTGATATATTTCAGAGTGATATTTTATAATCTTAGTGTATATCTATTGATTGTGAAATGCAGTGCTTTTCGTTTCACGATAGGACTTCTTGTTAATGTATTATGAATATTTCTCACTGAAAATCCCATTACAATTAAATTTTGACTTTATTTCAAAATGTAGTTTAGTATCTAGAAATGCTTGGATGGTCTAAAACCAGTTTTGATATTACCTTTTGTAAAGTTGCTATAATCCACTAGTACACTAATCTACTCCTCGATCAGTTTAGTAGAGGTGTGCAAAAATACTACAGAGGCTACTAAAATATGGATCAGGATTTCGATATCAGAAACAAGACAAAGTTATAATTTGATTACTAAAAGTCAGAAAACCTGAAATATTAATGCTAGGGCTTGGTGTTTTTTTGTAATGTTAGATATTTAAATATACGGTGTATGCTGTGGTAGATATATTTGTGCATAATATACAAATCACGTTCTAATACATAATTTACATGCATTTAATATGGTATTCAGTCTATGTACTGTATGTATGGTCACGTTTGTATTTTCTCTAATTTATAACAACTTGCAGCTATTGCAGCTCATCCAATAAGAATGTTTAGAGTCTGAACCAGCAGTTTTATAATATTAGTCACAAGTCTTTTGTTTTAAATTCCAGTGTTGTATGATGCGAGACTTGTTATTATCGACATCATAAAGAGAAAGTAATTATAGCAATAAAGCACATTCATTTGTAAAGTAGGCCATTTAATTCAATGGATTATTCAAACATAAACTTCAACTCATAATATAAATATATAAAACCATTTTTTGTTAAATTTCCAGCAAAATTACCTTTGTTGTGGTGTATTAAAATGATATGAAATGATTCAAACTGTGATTTAAAAAAAAAGTTGTTGTAACTTCCAACCCTAAGTAGTATTAAGTTATTTAATTTATACTGTTTATGACAAGTTGTGACATACCCAGTTGTTTTCAGTTTAAAGATGCATTTTAGTCCAGGACTAAGCTAAAGCCTTATCTATGAAACCGGGGGATAAGCTATTTTATTACTTCCCCTAAAAATTAATGATCTGAAGTAACCAAGTGTTTTGTTGTTGTTTTTTTACAGAGAGAAAAAACAGAAAATTCAAGACATCAAGAATAATATAAAAGAAGCTATAGAGGTAAGTCTTCTTGAGTTTAACTCGTAATCAACATGTACAAATGTGAACTCAACTGAAACTCTGACTGTCTTGGTTCCTTTACAGACTATTGTGACGGCAATGTCCATGTTGGTACCTTCAGTTCAGTTAGCCTGTCAAGCAAATAAGTTTCGAATTGATTACATCCTCAACTTGGCCAATCAGAAGGACTTTGAGTTCACAACGGTGAGTAGAAAGGTATTATCACCCCAGAGTCTTTGCACCGTCTCAGTGTTGCGTTCCGCCTTTCAGCCGAACAGACGATTTAGTTATAAAATACTTTTTTTTATTAAAGACAGATCAAGTTTAAATGTAGAAAAGGCAAAGAAGTGTGTGAGCACTGTATGTACATTTAAAAAATAGCATTTAGTTTCTGGCTAACTGTCGTGGATCTTGTTCTTCTCGCTCGTATTGCTTTGTGGAATTATAATTAGCAGCGATTCTTTGCTTGGGGACAACACATTGGTGAATTGAAAAAGAACCCCACCTGAGGGAAATGTGGGTGTGTGTACCTGTGACTCTCGGGTGTAATGGTGTGGCATTCATTACGACTGATTACTTGTAATAACCTCCAAGCTCTCCCTTAAGAGGGTCTCACCTGAGAGACACACTGTTTAACCCAGGACCTCCCTGCTCCCTCATCACCTAGACAGGTGCTCTGTGTCTTGGGAAAGGGTAGTGGAGAGAGCCACCCTGACCTGCGCCAATGAGCCAGCTCAAGATTTAATTACGGGTGACTCAAACTTGGTGGCCCTATGAACTTAAAAATAGAGAACACAAACAGCTCACCTGCTGGTTTAGACAAGGTTTTAAATAGTTAGCTACATCATTACATGAACATTATTAGAATTATCAATTGGAATTTTTGACACCTAAAAACTGGATGTGTCTCTAGGTCGGCTGGATAACTGCGTGATTCCGAGTTGATCGTTAACTGTTAAACTTCAGAAATGAATGCAGGAAGTGGTTGGAGTTTTAGCTTACTACAAAGAAGATAGTGCCCCACCCTTTTTCTCTCTCTCTCTCTCTCTCCCTCGGTGGCCCTAGGGCCCGCTGGGAACCAGTCTGACTGGTTGATTGTGTTGCAAGCAAAAGACAAAAATAAAAAGCAAAGCAATTATTGACATTTATAACTCCGTCATGTCACTTTTGGATATAAAGTCCCATTGTTTGTAAATGACTGCAATGTTAATACTGTTGTAATATTTCCATCAAAAAAATAAACTTGCTGTGAAGCTATTGAGCTAGGAGGAAACTGGTGAAGAGTATTAGCATATGGACAGGGAGAAAAACAGATGTAGATGAGATGAATAAAAATAATGCACACAAAATAGTATTACTCATACTAGGGATGGGCAAAATAGCTAAAAATGTATATTTGTTTTTTTCATTGTACATCTCTCTTATTTTTTACCAAACAGCCACTGTTGCCAAGTGCGTTCAAAAAGTTTAATGTTAGAAACACCTGTAAAAAACTGTTGAAATACTCAAAAGTATGGTACATATCCATTTTCAACAACAGTTTTAGCCTACTTATATATTTACTTGTAGATTTGCATTAACATTTTTCAATGATGGAAACAAAAAGTTTAAGTAACGATACAAAAATTCAGATACCCACAAAATAAATGTTTATGGTAAGAGCAGTGAGAGTTGGTGGGTGGCGTGATTCTCAAGTGTGTGGCTCTGTCCTACATGTTTAACAAACAGTGTAGTGGCACTACTTTGTTAAAGGAGTTGTGCCAAAGTGAATGCTACCATTTCCAAACACGCAAACAAAGATCAAGTAATGTTCCCTATTGGGACCACGCTCTTCCTTTGTCCCTGTTCGTACCATTATGGGCACTACATATAAACAGCTTTAAAAGGTGGAAAAGCTGTCTGTGTCCTGCTTTTATTGGAAGTTCTTTCATTTCAAATGCTCATTCATATTTCACCACCACATCTGAATCACAGTGGGTGGTCAGAACCGTTTAGTTCCGTCTTGAACTCCTCTATAATGTGGCTTTTGTTATACATGGGGTGCGTATGTTGTTTGGTGATTTAAAAAAAAATGATGCATGTTATCCGAAAGAAGAAAGCAGAAGAGCTTCACTGATGAGTATAATGTTAACGTCTACCTCCAATATTGTCCAACATTTTTTGTCTTTTATGCAGAAGCTCTCAAAGTGGGGTCCGTGACCCATAGCCAGAGAGTCAGCAAAATAATTTGCTGTACCATATTTTCTGTCACATTTTTATAATTTGAAACCTACTGCAATTTATATTCCAAAGTGACTTATAAAATGCATTTAACTTCAAATAATCAAAATGTAGACAAAAAGATTTATTTTTGGCATTTTTTGCCTTTTATTAGGATAGGACAGTAGGGTGGGAAAGGTCCACGAGCTGGGACTCAAACTCTGGTTGCCCAAAGCAAAACGGTGCACTTGCCCACAAGGCTATTGGCGCCAACCAAACGTTGACTTTTAATAATTAGGCACTTAAAGGTTTCTAGATATAATAAAAACCTTTAGCAGTTTCTATATCCCGCTGCTATGAGGAAAGTGACACACGCATCATGCAGCCTGTTCATTATCAAAATAAAATCCAGTAAATTAAATACAAAAAGTTATTCTGCTTAAGGGTGGGGTAGGTAGAAATTTTCCAAAAAACTTTTTCCCAAATTTGTTTAAACTGTCTATGTATACCAATATATAATTAAAATGTAAGTACTCTGAAAAAGAAAGTATACAAATCGAATGTCTGTAGTCCTCTCAGTGCTGCAATTATTGAGATGTACTTTATACGTATATTTTAATTCTTGTTTTGTTCTGAATAGCATTAATTGAAGGATTGTTTGTGGAGATAGGGGAAGTAAAAAAGCTCTAAATGTTCATAGTGTTTATAATGTTTAACTTCTCATTTTTATTTATCGGTATTTTACAATATTTGAAGAGTTCAGATGCAAAAGCCTCTAAATGCCATTTGAAATTTTCTTCTTGAATGATGATTTTTATCAAACTTGTATTTTTAAGTTCAGTAATTTCACTTAAATAACAATTAATAGGTAATCATCATTGCCATTTAAGTGAAATCACTGAACTTAAATATACAAGCTTGATAAAAATGATCATTCTAGAAAAAAATTTCAAATGGCACTTAGAGGCTTTTGCATCTGAACTCTTCATTTCCTAATGTAGGCTAATAATAAAAAGTGATTTTTACACTGATGCGACTTGGTTCAGTGTTTTTCTCTCACCAATGCAAGTTTGACTGGTGTGAATGATACTCTTTGCCACTTATTTTTTGGCAAATACAGTAAAATTCTTTCGGTTCATTCACACTGCAAGTGATTTGCCGGGATTTGTGTGTGTGTTCACACACAACCCGTAAAGATCCCGGAAAGACAAATGACGTCAGGATGAGATCTATAACGTACGCGTCGAAAACATACACGCGCATACCGTTCCACAGCGCTGGTGAACGATCTTAGCTTCAGCGCGGATAGTGAGGAGCTCCTGGTCTGCTTCGTTCCACTTTGCAGACATTTGTTCGCCTTTATTTGTTGATGACGAACACAAACTTTCTCGAGTCGCGTGATGGCACGAGCATCATCACTATGACACACCCCTTACGGCATTGGTCCTGGCTTTTGTTCACACAGCGCGCGTTCCGGGACTGATTCCGGCAATGTTACTAGGTCCCCAACCCGGCATCGATGCCGGTATCAATCCCGGGTCGTGTTTGTGTTCACACAGAAGCCGTTCTGGCAATTTCCCGGGATCAACGCGCTGTGTGAAAGGGGTTATACATATACGTGATGTTTGTGTATACACTGACATGACATTCCTGATTAGAAATTTTGTTTAGTCCCCAGTCCTCGGAATTCCTATACAATTTATTTTTTATTTGTTATTGTTCTTTTAAAATCTGAAAGAAAAAAAAAATACAATTTGACTAGATTTTTTTTAATGACAATTTAAAAAAAAAATCAGATTCAAAATAGGTGAAATCAGAAACTGAACCAGTCTGAAATGGACCAGTCAGTTGTGGTGGGTTTTATTTTTATACAGGTTAGCATGCTCTATAGAGAAAAATGATGTGGCCAAGCTACAGAGGTGTAAAAGATTTGCCTGGATTCCGACAGCTAGTTTATGGGTTTGTCCTCTCTTCCACTTGTCTTCCCAACAGGAATTTTATGAACACACAAAGACCCTGTGGCAGGATGAAGGGGTGAGAGCTTGCTTCGAAAGATCCAACGAATACCAACTGATCGACTGCGCACAGTAGTGAGTATTCTGATTCTTTTGAATGCTGGGTTTGAATTGTGCTGAATTATTAGTATTTGAAAGCTAAATGAGAGCAAGCTGATTCGCATTGGAATATACAGGTCAGATTGGTTGCACTCGACTCTCTTGACTTGATGTAAAATTGTTTATGTGACTTTAAGCACGTTGCATGTATCGGACAGATTTATGCATTCAACGGAGGAAAAAAGAAATGTGATTTGGGCAGAACATGAAAAAGAGAGACTAATGAGTGCTAGGCAGATAGATTCTTTACGAAGACATGGAAGTATGAATGTTGATCATGGTGGGGTATACATTGAAAGAGTTCCTGCATTGTGGCGCATATGAGTGCGTGTGTCCTGTCTTCTCCCACATCCACTGGTGGTTGTTGTGGATCAGACGCTGGCCTGAGCCGTTTAGACCGGAAGTGCTCCCCCCCTACGCTTATGTAAACGTAGCGCAGAGAGAGAGAGAGCGCTATTTTTAACTCTCTGGTTCACTCACTCGCAGCAGAAGGAGACGCTTTGAGAGACAGAGAAGATCCGCAAGTTTTGCAAATAATGCATCTCTCCTTTTGGAGGAAAAAAAATAAGCTTGAAGTGATACTCGCGAGGGTTTGGAGGGCAACTCCCACCCTCCCAGACTGCAAAGAGGGACGGAGGAGAATGACGGTGCTGTTTCAAGCGCGTACACGCGTTCAGCAAGAAAATTAGCGTTGTCAACTGCTCGTCCTGTGTTATGAGATCATTTTTCTGTCTGAGCGTTTTCAAGGCTCTTCCTGTCACATGGCCATGTGTCCATATTGAGCGTGTGTGTATGCGTTAGAGTTTTCATTCATCTCCATTTCTTTGTACGTTCAAGCTGGTATTGTGGGCTCAATAATGTTATCATTGATGCGGAGACGAACAAAAAAATCACTACAAAAAGCAAGGGAGTAATACAGACTTATCTGAGTTTTTGTTCATCCCGCAACATTTTTTGTCCCCCTCTCCTTACTAGTTCTTCCTGCATCTGCTAGTAGCGTCACTGCACTCACAGAAAATGGCTGAGATAGAAAAAACAATGAGAATAGTTTCGGGTTATGCTGTTTTCAGAGGAAGCATGTATAGATGAGTGTTTCTACAAGCTTTCTGTATTTTTGTAAACCGGAGAAGAAATGTTTATTTGTGGTTCTAGTGTATATTCAGGGCGAGTGTGTAATAATTGCGTATAAGGCAATATTTTCTTTACACAAAGCTTTCTGTTCTCATAAATAGGGTTGGGTATCGAGAATCGAGTATCGATTGGAACCGGGACTAACTTTTCGTTTTTCCCGGAATCGTTCAAAAGTTAAAATTTCGATTCCTAGTTTCGATATTCACAGTCCGCCGAGCGGAAGAAGAAACCGCAGAACAACACCAACGAAGAAGCGTCTACCGGAAGTGTTGGCATAACCACGCGAGTCGAACATGAGTACCTTACCTCGGCGATCCAAAGTGTGGCTTCACTTTTCTAAAAATAACGAAATCTCGGCAAAATGCAAAATTTGTGACAAAAGGAGTATTTCTACAGAAGGAGTATTTCCTTCAGAAAGGATTATTTCCTTCAGAAAGGCCGTTGGTTAGCAAGGTTAGCTAAACTTTTTTGACCCTGCCTCTTAGAAGAATCGGAATCGAGAATCGTTAGGAATCGGAATCGAAACAAGGAATCGGAATCAGAATCGTTCAAATTCAAACGATACCCAACCCTACTCATAAACTAAAGAAACTTTGTATTCCCCCTTTTTTGCATTTCGTTTGCATAAATACAGTCTATGGAGAAAAGAAAAAATGTTCCTTTGATGTTATCTACAAGCTTTCTATATTTCCATAAAACAGAGAAATGCTGCATTCCTGTCTGTTTACACTTGGTAAATGCAAATCAAGTGCATGGATTTTTTTTTAATTTTTTTTATTCCTGACAAAGGTCTTTTGACTGAAATGTTGCTATCTCAGTAAAAATGGGATTTCTTGCAGGCAACAGCAGTATGCAGGATTTTTTTTCTTTTGTTTTATATTCTGTATCCAACGCACCTGCCTGCAACCGTTCAGGTGTGCAAGAGTGTTCAAATAGAGAAAACAAAGACATTTTTATTATTGCACATCTATTACAGAAAGCGTGCGGTCAGTATTTTCATGGAGCTTTCTATATTTTCGGAAACTACAGAGATATGTTCTTGCTTGTTCGCATTTTGCTTGCATGAAAATAAAAAACAGAGTTTACCATATCTTAAAAAAAGGTGAAAAAAGAAAAATTACATTGCAGAAACATTGCATTCCATTTTTTGTTTGTTTCTTAATTGTCAATCCAGTGGATAGAGTTTAATTTTATTAGGGTTTATGGTTTTTTCAGTTTTCCTCTCTTTTCAATCGCTTGTGAATGCCGATGTGGCCCTGCGCATTTTACTTTTGCTTTCAAATTATGAAGGGATGGGGTGTGTGTGTGGGGTGGGGGTGATGGTGATATAACAAGTGATGTAACCGGTGTGTGTCTATGGCAAAAATATATCATGATTTTTTTTTTTTCAAGAAAATCACGATTTTATCACGATTATTTTTTGCATGTTGGTTTTAGTATTTTGCAAGTGATATTTTATCCCTATTTTACAAACATTAAAAAATAACAAAGATGTACACAACATATACACAACATAATCTACAAATTAAGGTGCTACAGGTGTATTTAACAGTTGCATTCAAGAAAGAAATTTAATGAAATAAATAAAATAAATATAAATAATGAAATAAAATAAAATAACAATTTTAAGAAATAAAACACTACATAGACTTTACTGTATAAATTATACTTATTATAATTATACTTAATTCTTATTAAAGCTACTTAGTTTTCAGTCAGGAGCAGAGTGATTTTCTCTTTGCTTTTTGACATTTATTTCAATTCTGTTTATTTAATTATTTACTCTCTCAAGTTGTTTTAAACCCAAATAAATGTCTTTCCTCTTTTGAAAATAAAAGTTATTTTGAAAAGTGTGGGTAACCAAACAGTTCCGGGTCCCCATTGACTCCCATAGTATATTTTTTCCAAAATATTTGGTTTGCCACATTATTTTAGTACAGGTTCATAACAACGAGACGAGAGTGAGTAAATTATGACAGAATTAAAATTTTTGAGTGAACTATTCTAGGCTCGGGTATCGAGTATCGATTGGAACCGGGACTAGCTTTGCGATTTTCCCGCAATCGTTCAAAAGTTTAAATATCGATTCCTAATTTCGATTTACAGTCTGCCAACCGGAAGTAGAAACCACTGAACCCCAACGAATAAGCGTGTTGGCATAACCGAGCGAAGCAACTCGAGAGTCGTCCTAATGCTGTGTTCACATTAGACGCTAGTCAAATTTGCGCCTACCGTGTCTAGTTATATGCTCGAACACTTTGAATCCATTTGCGCGTCAAGAGCGAAATTCACGTGCGTAAAAAAAAGTTTGAAGCGGAAATTACACAATTAGTTTAGCAAAAAATCACTTGCGCCAGACAATTTATTTGATGTTCCAAAAGTGCTCTCGACACCGTTCAGACATGGGCTACTGTCACTTTAATACCTGCATGCATATGTAATATAACACGCACCTGATTTTCTCTCAAATATTTGCTTTCACTTAACCAACTGTGTTTATGTAAACCTTGTGTGTATTTGACAGTATTAGCGCAATAAGACTCGAAAGATAACTTAGTCCAGTAACGAGGCGTTTGACAGGCTTTTATTGCAGTTCAGGAAAGCGCATGTTAGAACAGCGCATCAGCACGCGAATGAAATTTTTAACCGGCAAGGCTTTAAAGTACATGCAAGTAAGTACGTCGCGTTGTACAGTATGTTGAGACGGAGGCGCCAGAACTGAACTGATATAAAATGTACTGTAGCAGCATACTACGAAATTTCTTCAAAAGCAGAACGTGGAGACATTTTAATCGTCCACGACGAATTAAGTTTCGTTACAATCTGTTCACACATTGGCATTACAAAATACATGAATACATGATTTCAAGTGGTAACATGCAAGAATGTTCATGTGTGTTTACCAAAGAAACAATAATGTTTTCTTGGAGCTATCTATCATTTTGTAAACCAGAGATACTTTTTGTGGTTAAAAAAATAAAATCAAAAGTTTTATTGGGGTATGTTTTCAGCAGAAGTAAAAAAAAAAAAAAAAAAAAACTTTTTTTGTAATCCAGAGATATGTTGCATTCGTGATGTGCATTTTGTAAACGTCATGAAATGTTTCCAAGGTTTCTAAAATAAATTTTTGTATTCTTTCTTGCATGTGTTTCAGAGAGGAAAACATGTTTCATTAAGGTTGTCTATTTTAAAAGAAAGCTATATATATATATATATATATATATATATATCTACAATCTTTTTGTAAACCAGATAAACATTGCATTCTTGCTTGTCCGTAGTTCCTAAACACAAGCCCAGTGCATGGAGAGAAAAAATTCCTGAACCATCCGCCATGTTTCTTTCTGTCTCTTCGAGCGTCTCTCTTCCTCTCCCTTTTCTTCCCCTATCCCTCTTTTGCGAAACCAGACCTGTTTTTGCTCTCGTTCTCTTTTTGCTTTTTGACTGGCCCTTCTCCACCTTCTCTCTCTCTTTCTCTCTATATCACTCCACTCCCTCTGTCTTTCTTTTTCTCTTCACTCTTTCTCTTTCTGTCTGTCTCTCCCTCTCTCTGGCCTCTCTCCAGTCACACAAGATTTGGAGCTGATAGTCTATTTATAGCGCCTGTGGTTCTGTCGCTATGACAACCGAGCTGGAGGCCAGGGCGCCAGGGAGCTATTTTTGGAGCGCCGCTGTAATGTCAGACACAGCCTTCTCTCTTTTCTTTCTCTTCCACCGCTCCCTCTCTCCCGGTTTCTGCTGCTCCCTTACTCTGGCGTTGCAAACTTACAGAAGTGTGTGTGTAAGAGAGGGAAAATGCGGTGGAGGCTATCGATTTATTCCAAGTTGTCGTTGAATTAACATTT